CAGAACAGTATGCTATAGTCCATCAAAGTTGTCCACAGAAGACGGTTGTTACCGATCATATTTGTAATTTGTGTGCTTGGGATAGATCAACGAGGTGGTTTCAATAGTTTCCAAGCAGTGAAATGCCACCAGGAGAAGTGTCCGTTACTTTATTTCCCTCATGGCTACTGTGACGATTTAGAACCGACTGGCTTCTCAATGTTCTGTTCGTATAGAAAATGCATGTTTTTTGTTCTTTCATATTAGCACTGTCAAGCAAATGAGCCACCTCTTCTGGGATTATACCCTTGTGGAAACATGATACACTAACAGAACCGATATTCGTTATTATGGTAACAATTCTGCATGTAGCGTCGCTGACAGAACGACATAATAAGAATATGAGGGATTTTGAGTACTTCGACGGGTTTCTGGGTTATTTTCCCTTATCTGTGGTGCACTGCGCAACATTAATGATCCCCTCCATCTTCATATTTCAATTTGCTAACGTAATGGTTCGACTGCATCAGCGCCGCTGTATGGATGCCAAGGCCATCCAGCACAGTTCGCTGGGGGCGCAATGGTCCAGCGCAGTGCTGGAGCACAGTATTCGGTATGAGTAAAAATCCGAATGTTTTCCAAATTCTCAAGACTTATGCAAAGTGTCCTTTGTAAATATCTACTGATAACTGCAATATATGGTAACACATTTTTTTTTCTTTAAAAAAAAATGTATAGAAATATTCGAAAAATAGTGTGCTAGGAACATTTTTGACAGATTTATGAACCACCTGCATTGGAACAGTACTGTTTTGTGAATGTGACATGCTTATTAATGACAGGTAGAATGTTTGTCATGTAGATGTTGTTACTGTGAGCCCAACAGTCGTCTCTGGCTCGCTGTCTCTCGCCGCTCCGCAAGTGTCAGTTCGTGAGTTCTCCTCCAGCGGCGGCGGCGTCTGAGAGCTCACCCTTTTTTCAATAGCTTAAGGGAAGACTCAATGTAAAGTGTTTACAAATTTGGGTTGTAGAACAGATGTAAATTAATTATGGCTCCTAGATAGGAATTGCTTTTTTAATTCATTTTTGTAAGCCAAGATGATTTAGTATAAAAAAACAAATTTAAGTTTCAAATGTGCCTTCCAAACTTTAGCACCCATGAATTTTATGCTGATGGCAGATATTTGTCAGGACATTGAGTTTTGGTAATCTGGTGAAGAGCTTAGATTTTTTTTTCTTTTTTTTTTATATATGTGAAGTTACCTGCTGGATTTTCAGTTATCTCACTCAAGGTTATCTTTGTGTGTTACAGGTTTAGGTGGTGCTGGTAATGTGGAGTTGTAAGGGGTGCTCAGAAAAAGTGTCAAGTAGGCCCAAGCTTTTGCATCACTACAAATTAAAACATCCACATTTTGGACGTCATTGCCACTTCCCATGTACATACCTGCATTGTCCATGCACCTTTAAAACATGGAATGCACTTATTGTCCATCAAAATAAATGCCACAAAACAGTGTTGACCACTACAACAAAAGCTATTTTCTGTTGTCACCTTTGTGAATGCAATGATTTGGCATCAGTGCGGGACTATTTTGCTCACATATATTCACATCTAAAAAGAAATGAAACACTTACTTGTATGTTCCTAGGTTGTAACTTTAAAACAAACGTTTACTCTACATTTACGTCACACAAAAACCGTAAACACAGTCACTACACTGTGTTTGATTTTAAACAAGGCATAGTTAAAAAAGAGACCCCTTCTGCAAATGAATTTGAGGGAAATAGTCAGTTTGTAGAGCAGTTGGATGCCATTGTTCCTTCACACAGCCCTTGTCATACTGAGGACTTGGAAAAACTCATAGAGCAAAGATTTGCAGCTGCTTTGCTAAAACTCGAGCATTTGGTCCATGTTCCAAGCACAGCTATTGATGCATTTCTAGAGGAGCTGTATCATTTGATTTGTACTGCACCCATACCATTGTCCTGTGACATTGTAACAAACATATTGAATCAAAGAAACCTACATGTAGATAATGTGGTTGTCACAGAGACTGTTAGTGCAGTTTGTTCAGGCAATCCTGTGCCACGATGCATACAAAAGGGTGGTCTTCTAAGCACAGCGTATCTGCGTAAGCAGTATTACAAGAATAATTTCTGTGTTGTAGAACCAGTTGAATATATCCTTGATGTTAAAAATAAACAAAGCTTCCAATATGTACCATTACTGAAGTTGTTACAGCAGCTTTTGAATAGAAGTGATATTGTTGATGAAGTAGTTGAATGCCACAAAAAACAGAAGGAAACAAATACTACTGGTTCATATTGTTATCGGAAATCAAGTGATGGTTCCTTATTTAAGGAAAATACTTTCCTTACTGGAGAGAAGCTAAGGCTTTCTTTACGTTTTTATGTGGATGACTTTGAAGTGTGTAACCCACTTGGTACCTCACGGAAGAAACACAAGCTTTGTGCCATTTATTGGGTTTTAGCTAACTTGCCTCCTGAATCTCATTCTTCCTTATCATCCATCTACTTAGCAGTGTTATGCAAAACCACAGATGTTAAAACCTATGGTTATGACAAAATATTCGAACCCCTTCTACATGATCTGAAAAATCTTGAAGAACATGGCATTTATGTTCCACTTTTAGGAGAGTCAGTTAAAGGTACAGTCATAAGTGTAGTTACAGATAACCTTGGTGCACACAGTGTTGCAGGATTTATGCAAAGTTTTTCTGTGGAATATTATTGCAGATTTTGCACAGGTAGAAGCAGTGATATTCAGCTACATTCTGTAGCATCTGGTGTTTTCCAGCTAAGAAACAAAGAGCTTCACCAGGTCCATGTAAAAGAAGCTCAAGAGACAGGTACAAGCTGTTATGGCGTTAAAAGAGAATGTGTCTTCTCAAAAAATCTGTCGCACTTTCATGTAATTTTTGGTTATCCACCAGATCTTGCCCATGATGTTTTTGAGGGTATAATCCCAGTAGAGTTGGCTCATTGCTTGACGGTCCTCATATCAAAGAAGTTTTTCACATTAGCCGACTTGAACAATGCGATTCTGAAGTTCCCCTACAAATGGGCAGATAAGACAAACAGACCTCATGTAGTGTCACAAACCTTCTGTAGCACAAAAACTGTTGGAGGAAATGCACACGAAAATTGGAGTTTGCTTCGGTTCTTGCCTTTTTTAGTTGGATCACTTGTGCCTGAGGATGAGCCTGCGTGGCTTGTTCTCATGGATCTGAAGGATATAACCGAACTTGTTGTTTCTCCTGCTCATAGTGATGACTCACTGGCCTTTTTGGAAAGCAAAATCATAGAGCACAGACAGAGATATCAGGCACTGTTCCCTGATATCAAGCTACTACCCAAACACCATTATTTGGAGCATTATCCACAGATGATCAGGCTTTTCGGTCCAGTAGTTGGGCAGTGGACAATGCGTTTTGAAGCTAAGCATAGCTTTTTCAAGCAGGTCATCAGACACACAAGCTGCTTCAAAAATGTACCTCTCTCATTGGCCTCAAAGCATCAGATGATGATAGCATACCATCTAAGCTCCCCATCTCTTGGCAAGTCTAAACTTGAGGTCTCAGCTATAACAACATTTCCAGTGGATTTGCTTAAAGAAGAGATAGCAAACATCATTAGGCATAGATTCCCAGACATACTAGAGGTCAACCTTGCACAGTGTGTGACAATAAAGGGCATAACTTACAGAAATGGAATGGTACTTTCTCACAGGGCAACAGGAGGATTGCCAGAATTCTGTGAAATAAAACACATCTGTATTTTAAACCACAGCATATACTACATTGTCAGAGAGCTGGGTGGCTGGTACAGAGAACATTTCAGAGCTTTTGAGCTCAAGTCAGTGTCCACAAGAGTATTCACTCTTGTTTCACTTAGTGAACTCCTTGACACTTATCCACTTGTTGACTACAAGATTGGGTCAGTCCGCATGGTGACTTTGAAAAGGCATATAGAAATACAAGGTATGCAGAAAGTGTGTTGTTATGACTTGTAATTCAATTAATTGATCACATGCATATAATTTATTTGCTATATTAATGTCTTATTTTTAAAACTATCCTTTCTAGATGTCTAATTTTTATTTTCTGTCCACAGAATAACTGTACAAAATGGGGTCTCCGCTGATCCTTAAGATCATCTTGACTGACGGAACAAGTCAAAGGCTCACTCTGTCCAGTGGGCCGCCTGAATCAATTGAGGACCTCATTGTTGAAGTAAAGAGACAGTGTTGTCTTGAGGGCAATTTCAGACTTCAGTTCATGGACTCCTTATTTGGGAACGAGTTCCTAAACCTCACCTCAATTTCGGAAATAGAAGACAAGGGGACAATTAAAGTCATTGATATTTCAAGGCCCACTATTATTCAGCAGAGTAATTCTATAGTTCTTGATTGTGTCCAAGACTCTGAGAACCCCAGTACTTCTTTTGATTACAACTCTTCCTTCATGACTGACAGATCTATTGATACAGATGTGTTGCCAAGTGAGTCAACAAGCTCGAGGTCTGCTTGGCCTGCTGTCTTTAAAGTGCCCAAGTTTCCCTATGATGCTGAATTAAAACTTCAGCAGGCAAGTATGTTATACAATCAGAATGGAACTGTACTTATTCCAGATCCAAAGTTGAAGTCAGCCATTCTTGATGGTTTGGTTCAGGAAATTCTGGTGTACAAAGTGTATGTCAGTGATAAAGAAATGGATCAAGTTGCTCAGAGTTTGATCAAGAAGCATCCCTGTCTAACTGAGAGAGGCTCCAGCACTGGTTATGGAGCATGGAAAATGAGCTTAAAATATAAGCTCTCCAACTATCGAACCCATCTACGAAAACTGGGATGCCCAGAAGTGACTGTGAACTCTTTAAAGAACAAACCTGCTGGAAGATGCAGTTCAGCCTTTGGTGTCAAAAAGGCAAAGAGAGCAGAAGTGAATTTTTGTCCACCATACCCAACAGAAGAAACTCAGGAAAGTTTAGAGGCGATGCGGAATGCTTTACTCTTGGAGACAAAGAAGAGGAACAACAGAGACTTGGTGAAACGCCAGATGGAAAAAACTTTTGCATACAGAAGACATGAAGTTGTTCGTGATGCACCGATGGTGGAGGCTTTCATGTCAAGATGGCCTGGTCTATTTGACATTAGAGAGGTATGACCTGTCTCATACATGTTTTTTTGGATACTGTGTTAATCTAAGATGTCTAGGCACATTTACTTCACTGTTCACTTTGGCAACACGAGTGATTGTGGCCTTCTTCCAGATGTTTATAATTTGAAAATCATTCCTTTGTGCTCATTTTTTTCAGATAAATGCTGAGTTTAAGAGAATTACGACCATACCGCTTCATTCAAAGTTCTTCTCTCAACTGGATCTCCACTGTGACAACCTGAGGAAGCTCTTCAAAAGAAGAGGAGGACAGCTCGGACAAAAGCTTAGACAAATTGTTGCACAAATGGATGATGTAAGTGATGTAGCCATAACACAACTAATAATATAGAAAATTACATTTTTCTTGTTTTAAATGTTGTCAACTTGGACTTTTACTCTTGCTTATTTTCATTTAAAACTTTACTTTTAACTTTATTAGTTTCTATCTCTTCACCATAAAAAAACATTTGGGTAAAGTACATTATTAAACTTCATTGTGAAGCACAAGGCTTGAAAAAAATTCTAATTTTTTCATACTGAATTTCCTTCAGTGTGAAGATGTTGATGTTGCACGGGAGTGTGTCATTAAGGGAGTCTGCATATATATGGGAGAAGATCCAGCCAAGCTCATCCATAAATATGTGGTATGTATCTTAATGTGTATTTACACCTAGTGATAGATAAATCAATCTAAATATAGAAATAGATTTAGATCTGCATATAGTTGTATCTATATAGACTTAGATGTCTCTAGATATCTAGAGATAGATCTATCTTTACATGAATAGACACATAGATCTGTCTATATCTACATGTAGGTATACTTAGAGATATCTGTAGAGAAAGGACTAGAGATATCTATCTATCTAAAACTCTATTTCTCTAAATCTATCTCTAAAACTGTCGATCTATATAAATCTATCTATATATCTATTTCTTTCTCTATGTTATGTTAACTATATCTATATATCAAGAACTAGATACAGCTAGGTCTAGAGAAAGAGATTAATTTGTCATTTCTTCACATAGGGTGTGGATGAAGCTACTATTGAAGAGGGTATTGGAGCCACCACCATCGGTGTTTTTCATCTTAAAGACTGTTCTTCAGCAGATGAAGACATCGGGGTCGTTCTTGAAGGCATCAGAGTGTTGTCCAATTTGGATAGTGTGCCAACAGCTGTTGCAATGCTTTTTGGACTGATATATGCAATGAACCTCGCCTACCCTGCTGACCTCCGCTACACTTTCGAGGTATTACAGAAAATAGTAATGGAACTGGATGGAGGTAAACTGTCAAACAAGGCATTGTCCCTTAAAAACCACCTCTATGAGTGAATAGAGATTTTCTCATGTTTAATTTGGTAATGTTCTCATGTTCAGTTTTTGTATTTCTTGTTGTATTCTTTATTGGAGGACACAAATGTATTTTTTTAATGAGGAACGTTCACCTGAAAGACTGGGCTTCAGCAGCTTTTACGTTCCAGTATGTAGTGCTACTTATAACACTACTGCTACTTAGTGTTACAAATATGCTAAAGAAATTTGCTATAAAAGTTACATTACACTGATTTATTGTCATGCAAATTACATGTTCAGAATTGTTTTAGAAATTTTACATACTTTTCTAAATCATTTTGTCTTTCATATTAATATCTTAAAGATAAACTTTTAAGCTGTAGTGTTTCCCTTGTAAAAAAATGTTCTTGTTTTTACACATTTGTTTAGACTATCACTATGGTATTACATAGTAATCAGTAAGACATGTGACAGATAATTGGTGTAAAAAATGTAGCTTTGTCTCAT